ACAGTGCTGCAGGAAAACATGTCAACTCACAAAATAACTTACTTTTATACACTAGCAATTGTCAAAAGCAAACTAATGTATAAGAACAGCAGCACCCACAGCTGCCAAACACACATTAAACATGTAATGAAATATGTTCACAATCAGAGTCTGGAAGAACAGCAAGTGCTCTTAACCTCTAAGCCATTTCTTTAGTTCCTACCATGGGGTTTTAAAACTATCAGTACATTTTAGTACAATTTAGTACAGAAAAAGAGAGAGAGGGGAAAAAAAACCTTTTTAGGCACCAGAGGAGAGTGTTCATTATACTAAATCCAATTTATGTTTTGGGTGTGTTGGAAATAAATATAACATATCTTTTGGACTTTGGTTCCATAGAAAATTCTGAACACTCTCTTTCTAGTTGTACTTTAAACAAAATTGTCCTCTGGATTCAGGAGTCAAGGTCCATGGCTTTCTTTTTTAGTTAGGTAACATGCAAATTTTCCTTTAAATATTCCCCTCAAAAATAGCCCATGTGGGTGTTTCACTTCAGAAAATTATTTTATCTATCTATCTATCTGTCTGTCTGTCTCTCTTTGTGTCTGTCTATGTATTGAATTGCATATGTGACCTCTATTGCTTCCTTTCCCTTCTTCAACTTTCTTCTTTTTCTTCTCCAATTTATACCTCAAATGTGTATTATGGAAAATCCCACGCATATACAAAATCAGAAAGATAAGTTCTCACTTCAGCCTAACTTCTCTCACAGAAATGTAGGGTGTGTATGCATATCTGTGCAGCAAATAAAAGTGGTTTCAGTTATGGGAGAAGGTAGAAAAAATAAAAATAAAAGAATAAAGCAGACAGTTTTCAAATACAGAAGACAGTTTCTTTCTGAAGATTGAAACATCAATTCGACAGGATTCTTGTTTCAATAATGTACCACAACATAGATGTCCCAGAGGATTCCCTGGTTGGGGGAGGGGGTTCAGCCAGCCGCGATGGCACCTCACCTCCCTCCTTTCTTTTGAATCACAGTGGATCTGAGAACTATGTGCCCCAGCACCACAGATGACATCCTCAGCTGTGCACATTGAAAGCTGTGCTGTTAGTTTCCTTCACTCTCGGACATAAGAAGCATGTTCTGTAGCAACTTCCTATATTTCACCAGAGTGAAGTAGCTAGCTAAATACACACACAGACACACACACACACACACACACACACACACACAAACACACACACACACCAAAAACAGAATAAAGAAAAGAATGAAAAACAAAACAAAACAAAGCCAAAACCAATCAACCACACCAAAAACAAAGCTGTGCTGTGGCTCAGGTTCTTATAAAAAATTTATTGTTTTTCTCCAGCCCAGAAACACTTGAACATTTACTACTATAGAGAAACTAGAACAGAGGCCTTCAATCATGTCCACTTCTAAAGAAACCCACCATGACAGCCTAACAGGCGAGAGGGTCACCTCCTATGTGTTCCTGGTGAATCTCCCATCTATTATTTTAGTTTGGTTCATATTGCTTTGAAATACTTACCCATTTCTACCTCTTGCACGCAGTCTGGAGTAGCGGGCTCTGTCTTCAGCATGCCCTTGGATGCCTCTTCAGTCTTTGCAGCACCCATCTGTGAGCTGAGA